GATTGGCATGGATGAGAGAACATCTCTTGAGAGGTCGGCTCAAGTTGCGTTGGCTGAGAGGCGCGGAGAATGCTGCTGATCTCTACACTAAAAATCTCGGAACTCGACTCTTCCAAGAACACAGAACGCGATTAGGCTTCATCACACAAGATGGACATGTGGAGGCGTTGTACATGTTGTCACAGCTGCGAGTTTCTCCAGAGAGCATGAAGGAATCTGATGAAGTGGCAGTGCTGGAGGTGTTTTGCAGTGAGGATTCGGCCCTGTGTCAGGTGTGTGGATCACTTGGGGTGCCGTATTGCGGGATCACAGCCAATGCCGAGACCTCAAGAGTGTTGGCAGAAACCATCAAGGTCATCACTGCTTGGAAGAACAGAGGGCTTTGGATCCACGTTCACGTGTCCACGCCTTGCTCTTCAGGATCGCCACTGCGGAACTTTGTGCAAAGATGTACAAAATCTGATCTTGAGTGGGAGGCGTTGATGCGATCTGCAGAGAGGTATCTGAGGCTTGGAGATGGACGTACGTTCGAATTGCCAAAGCAAAACATGATTTGGAAGAGATGGGGAACACAGAATGTCCTTCGAGCCTCAGGTCTTGTGTATCCCGTAGATGTATGGCTATGCGCCACAGGCGTGTTGAGTCGAAGCGGTCTTCCAGTGTCAAAACGTCTCAGGTTCATGTGTTCACATCTCGAGTGCGCCCAGAAGCTTTTCGACATGTTTGGAAGTTGCAGTTGCCAGACACATGCCTCGTTCCATGACATTGACTACACAGCAACAGGGAGGTATAGCAAGGTGCTGGCAGAAGGGTTGGTCAAAGCCCTGAAAGCAACAAACTGAAAGGGGGATCCGATTTGGTTTCATCTTACGCCACACATGATCAAGTCATGTGAGGAGTATAGTCAGAGTGCGTTTTGCACAGTGCGTTTGCACAGCACTTGCGATTCTTTGTAACGCAAGTTTTCTAGTTTTCCCTCGGGCGTCATGGTTGCACAGCCTTTGATGAGAGTGGCGATTTCAGTGGCCATTCTTGCGTTGATGAGCTCTGGAGTGGAGACTGCGAGGCCAGTAGAGCTTTGGGGAACCACCTTCATGGGCAGCGAGCTTGTACAGATGTTTGCTAGTCCGACTTGGGATCCAGTATGGATCATCATCATCGGGTGCTTTGTCAACGGCATCTTGGTTGGTACGCTGATCATGACATGCTGTTGTGCGTGGGCATTGTTTTTCCGGATGAGCTATGGGCAGCAAAGAGCTGCTACACAGATTCCACCTCTGGATGATGACGCGATGAAGCCACAAGGTGCCCAAAACAACTCTATGCCTGAGAGAAGTCAACAGATGAACCCTCGTGAGCCAGATGGCAAAAAGGAGGCATCGTCGTTGAGAGCGAGGCCGAAGGCAGCTGGTGCAAGGGAGAAGCATGCAAGTTCCAGCTGCAAGGATAGAGTGGACAAGCGCATCTTTGCTTCAGAGTCTCAGGGCATCTTTCATCACGATCAGACATGCCATCGCATGGAGGGATCATGGCGAACTATGTGGCAGTGTGGAAACTGTAAGCCAGAGCCAGGCAACACAGAACTGTGTGTCTTCCCGTCCGGGGACAGATATCACAGTGTGTACTGCAAGCATGTGGCGGCCGTTACCTCCAACCCAACATGCATCACTCCGTGTTCGGCATGTGTGACAGGGAACAGCAGCAGGCCTCTGAGATTGGAGTGATCATCTGAAGATGTCGTCATCTGAGAGTGAGGTGAGACAAAAAGATCATCCCGAAAGGGGGTGTGAAAATCTGTGTATAGACACGTCTGCGGGATGCCTTTTAGGCCAAGGCGCATGTTTGACGTGCTTACTGTATGTCAGGGACGTGCAGGTCTTCCCTGAACAGTCGAGCATGTTTTTCCTTGAGATTTTGTTTTGTAGGAGAAGTGAGCTTGCGTAGGTGGCGTCAACTGGGTTTTTCCAGTTTTACTTTTGACTCTTGGCTCAAGGTCAAGAGAGCTGAGAAAGCACTAAGAAGGCAGGACAACTGCACGTCGCTTTGTGTGACCGAGAAAGTGCTGTGCAAGTGCGAAGCTGTGTGTAAGTTGGGTTTGTGCTGTTTAGAAACTTTTACATAAGAAGGCCTTGGAAGGCCTTAAACCCGCAGCGAGAGCTTAGAGGCATTGAAATTTTGCGTACAATCTTTGTGTTTGCGGGTCAGAAGTTACACTTTCGCTCTGGAAGCTGTAGGGACAGGTTAATGCCAGCGAAAAGCCTTGTAAACGTTGCTGCACTTGAATTTAAATAGTTGGAAGCGTTCACTTGCTTACGCAACATTATGCAGTTAAAGCTCAAATAGCTTTTGCAGGATCATCTCAAGCGGTCAACTCCCTTTCAAGGTTTGTCGAAATGTTTTGAATAGAGTGAGAATGAAGAGGACTTGAAGCCAGCTGCAACTTAAAATTCTTTTGACGTAAAAGAAAGAGGCAGCCAGGCTAGTCGATTCTTCTTCTTAACCCAAAGCCTTGGAGGGTTTTTAGCAAATGGACCTGCGTGTTATTGCTGGCAGTTTTGGTAAGAAGAGAGGTGGAGAATTGTCTAAATTCCAGGAGGCACGCGTAGCTAAGGCACACTTGTGTTTGATGGTGAGCTATTGTTGCAGTCAATCTTGTCTGCCATCCGGGCAGCTTGCAAGTCCGGTGGTGTCTCTGCTCTGTTTTAGGCAGCAAGCAAAGATGCCTTAACCGGTCAAAACAGAACATCGCCTCAAGGTAAGGTTGCTCAGACAGTTGAGAGTGTGGCTGAAGGCCAGAGGCTCATAAAGGAACCCTTCGAAGCCGAAAGGCGTCTGCATAAGCTACACACTGGCCATACATGCCCTGGTGGGTTCGTCCGGACTCGAGGCCTTGCGGGGACCCCGTTAATAGTATGATAAGCCCCGGTCCCCGAGGCCTTGTAATCTTTCAAGGCCTCGCGAGACCTCGAAAGGCCTCGAAACCCCATGAGTGAGGCCTCGGGAGGCCTCGGAAGGCCTCGAAACCCCATGAGTGAAGCCTCGGGAGGCCTCGGAAGGCCTCGGAAGGCCTCGAACCCCGCAGGGCGAGGCCTCAGAGGCCTTGCAAGATCGCGTACACATGTTTGCAAAAGTTGACAGTTTGCGCGAGTCCAAATCTGGGGTCGAAAAGTCTCAACAATTCTGGCTTCGCGTGCGTGGGCCTCCCGTGTATTTCGCAAGTGGTTTTTCTTCAACGCTGATCTTAGTGTGGCTGCAGTGCCGGTGTGTGCTCCCGGCGATACAAGCCTTGCTCTTGATGGGCCATTGTGCGACTTCCACTCCTCACATGCTTTACACCATTTTTGCGGCTTTGCGAGACGCCCCAAATCTGTGGGATCATGCTAGTGAGTCGCCATGGCTAGCGAGCTGGTTTGCGTGGGACAGTGCGCTCTCAAGGCTTTCTATCTTGTCATGGCCGACCTTTCCGGATTAAGCCTTTTTGTTGTGATGTGCCCACGCCCCACGCTGATCTGTGGAATCCACTGTGCTTCACCGCATTGATCATTGAACCTGCGCTTCATTTGGTGCGTCTCTGCGTCGTCTTCGTCGAGGACTGAGAGTCGTCTACTGGTCTTTGCCGTAAATCGCCAGTCCAGTCCGGTACCTGCTGGGCTGGTTGGTCCTCTTTCGTGCCCCATGACACCTCCTCTCCACTCCGCTGTCGCCGGCAGACAGAACGTCCACGTGTTTCCGCATTCGTTAGGCGAAGGGGGAAACTCCACGGGAAGCGCGTCCCGCGGCGTTCTACACGGCGAAGCTAAGTTGGGTGGGATGGAGGTGTGTGACGTGAATGTTGCCGTGTGAGTGTGAAGGTGGTTGCAGACGGTGTCGGTGTAAGTGATGGACGTGTGTGTGTGTGTGTGTGTGTGTGTGTGTGTGTGTGTGTGTGTGTGTGTGTGTGTGTGTGTGTGTTGTGTGTGTGTGTGCGTGGATGTATGTGACGGTTTGTGGACGTGGGTGTTAAGAATGTGCCCCTGCGCTTTGTGCCTCCTCTTCGATAGTACATGCCCTTCCTTGGAATTAAGGTTTCCAATCCTCTGTAAGGGCAAGAGAGAGAGAGAGAGAGAGAGAGAGAGAAAGATAACGGCCATTGAATATGTTGCATTTCAAATATCTAATGCTGGGGTCAAAGACCTTTTACATACTGTAAGATCTTGGGGACTTGGGGTACATCATAATTACTGTATCACAATTTCAGGGACTTTTCAGTACTCTTATTGAAAGACCCTTACCATTTTCAGGGCCAAAACCTTGATGAAACTCAAGCGGGGCTGACGGGGGGGGGGGCGAGGGGCTTCGGATTCGAATGCGGGTGAAGAGAGGGGGTAAAGCAGTTGCTATGGTTGCAGGGCTGCCGCATTCTCTGCCGGAGCTTATTCTTACTCCCAGAGCCCGGAGGCTGAACCCTCCTTCCAATTTAAGGGGGGGGCTGGAGAGGGGGCTTCAAGCCTTTTGAGAACTAGGGGCTATGCCGGTGATGGTCGGACAAACAAAACAGCAAAAGAACCCAGGACCAGCGCCGGCAGAGAGATCCAGCCCGCAGTTGAGCAGATGATGGCGCTTCACGACTCTGGCCTCAACTTGCCGACTCATCTTGCATCACGTGTCGGCACGCTGCACAGACGCTTGCGCAGGAATCATCAGGCATGGTTAAGGCAGTTTGCTCGAACAATTCGCCGGGGATTTTTCGAGCGGCCGCTGAAACTCAGCAAGGGCCCCTGGTTTGCGCATGATAATGTAGTACTGACTTGAAAAGTTCAGCAGAAAATTTACCATTTGGCCAGCCTTATTTTGCTCAGCATTTGGCCCATTGAAGTGACAGATTGCGACGCAGTTTCAGAGAGTTTTGGAATCCATATTGTGCTTGAACAAGGCGTGAAGAAAACCAACATGCCCAACCTCATTCAGCGAAGAGCAGTGTTGCTTGCGGCTGCTAGTACCTATCTGCATGCCCCGCGTGCATGGCTGGGCGAACTCCAAAGGACGTTTCGCCAGAGGTCGCTTTGCTGATTTGGACATCTTTTTCTGCTTGGAGCACCCGCTGACACTGCTTTGTTCAGGATCGGCCAGGGCTTTCAAAGCAAGGGCGTGCAACCCTGTTTGACCTAGCTGTCGTGCAACCTTTTTTTGCGACTACTATCGTTCGCTGCAGGGGACTTGGCCCTAGAGGCAGAAGGCAGCTGCAGCTGGGTTCAATGTCTCGGCAGCATACGGGACTACAAACCAGCTCACATTGCCGGGCCAGCAGGAGTCATGTCCAAACACTGCGCAAAGTTTTGCTTCCTCGTGACATCTGTTGCGGGAATTTGTGCACAAAATGCGCAGTCTATGGGCGTGTTTTGCCCCGACTGGCAAAGCTTCTCAGCAAATACGAGTCCTGCAGCCGAAGCACTTTGCGTTTTCTTCAAAACCTTGACTTGGATACAGAATACAGAGCAGTTGAAACCCCAAATCCCAAACCTAAACCTCAAATCCCAAATCCCAAACCCCAAACCCCAAACCCGCAAACAGCAGGTAGCAGCCTCTGTGCCCAGGGCGAACGGCGAACACCCAGAAGCGCAAGAGGAGAGGCCAACAGGCATCCCTGCTCAAACAGCTTGGGTGAAGGCATCCTTGATATCTTTGATCTTGGGCTTGTATTTGCCAGCATATAGTATCATATAGTAGCAAGATGTTGCAAGCATAGTACCAGCCCCAGGAACCACAGAAATATTTGCACTCGAATTCGAATGATTCGAACAGTCGCAGATGTAGGCACGAAAGACTGCCAGGCGGCCCCCATTGCCCTTCGTTTCAGTGCCCTGACATGCACAAAGTTGTCTTGCATGCACACGCGACAGGTGCATCAGATTAAGTAGAGGAGACTTACCCAGCAGCATGTGACACTGTGTCCGATGGAAGGTTTCCCTCATGCTCCCTAAGCCGGTTAGCCCTTAAGTCAGCATGCCTCAGTAGATGGCAAGAAGCTCGCTGCACCGTGAAACATCACCAAGGTGGCAGTTCGCATCAGGCCAGAGTCGTTTTGCATGTGGTGTTTTAGGGCACGCTGAGACACTGAAGTGTTCGAGATATTGAGTGATTTGAGTGTAAGGTGATTCCAACGTCTCTTGCAAGTCTTTCCTCTCCCCGCCAGGCCCAACCTTTCTCAAGAGCCCGTGGCACTGTGGGCCAAGTCCTCCGCGAGCTCGCAGCGCGTGTGCTGCCACCGTGGGTTCTTGCTTGAGGACGGAGCCTTTAGCCATCATACGCTTCTTGAATCCTCTTGAAACCTTTCTTTGAGCGTGGCGTGGCACATCAATGCCAGGAGTACGAATTCTCCCGAGTCTTTGGGCCGGAGGATGACAATCAGACGTTGTTTGACCAGCTGCAGGCTCCCTGTCGGAGATTGCAGTTGGGTGCCAATCTTTGCTTGTTGAATAAACTAGTCCAGGCACTTTCTTCATCTAGCTCCTGTCCTCAGGGCAGTACCCTGACGGGCAGCGTCTTCCAGGGGGTCAACGAGACTCTCTTCGCTTATGGCCAGCAGTGGCCCTCAGTGTCTTCCGAGTCTGGGCATCCTTTCGCTTCGGCAAAATCAGCAAAAGCAGCTCAGGACGGGCAGCGGCAAGACGCACACCATCTTCGGTAGCATCTTGGCCCGTTATTGGCTCTGAGCAACCCCAACGGCTTGCTTGGGATTCTTTCTGTGTCTGAGGGTTTGGCTTGGTTTGAGATCCTCTACGTGTGAAGCGGAGATTCTCGTCTCCCGTAGAGTTGGTTTTTTTTGTTCCTTCATCTTCAGTGCAGGCAGCGAGCCATAGAATTAATCACATTCGCATACCGTTTCTCAGTCAATCCTCTCTGGAGTGTTCGGGCGCCACAGCGCACAAGGGGGACGCGGTGTCCATCTTGGTTCATAGTGTGATAGCCGCAACTAGTCGCACCCCAGCCATTTGCCCTAAATTGGTTAAGAAGTACCCTTAAACCCTAAACCCTAAACCCCAAACCTGAAACCCTAAACCCTAAACCCTAAACCCTAAACCCTAAACCCTAAACCCTAAACCTCCAAGTAGTTTCAGAGACCTTCAGAGGCCGCACCGAACCCGGCCTCTTGGAGCTCTTCGTCCGCCGCTTCTTCGCCGTGGCCCCGCCGAATGCTGCGCTGTTTGCGGGCTGCGGCTCGGCCCACCGTGTCCTTGTATAGGGTTTAGGGTTTAGGGTTTAGGGTTTAGGTTTCCTGTATGCGCAGGTTCACTCTGTTGACTGTCTTATCACTGTAGCTGCCATCCGGCCTCGCATCTAGTTCTAGTGGTAAGGCTCCTGAAAAGACGAGTCTTCACTTCGCTCGGTCTCTCACTGCGTTCGCTTGTTCATATACTCGCGTCGCTTTCTTACTCACTCACACAATTCTTACCAGGGTGCGAAATAAGAGAAAGAATGCACGCACAAGGAAGCGAACGCAGAATTCACGCTTCACTTCGTTCATTGTAACTCTTATGTTCACTTCATTCACGTCTTTCATATTATGGCGGCGTGCTAACAAAGATAAGAAGTGATCACGCAAATGCTGTACGCAAAAAGGCTCTAATAAGCACATTCATGCGCCCTCTTACTAACTTGATGCTTTCACCTCTGGATCAAAGAGAATCACTAGCTCGGTTGCTTCCTTCACTCCCAACTTAGCTTTTCTAGGGGTCTCCTGAGGGTCCCTCAGTTGTCCCCCAAGTCTGTGGGCTTCATGTTGAGATCACAAGGGACTTTGCCGAGTTGCTTTGAAAGTGCGACGACCTCGACTGTGGTTCCAAGCCGAGGCTATGAGGTGCTGGGCGACTCGCTCACGGATCTCGTGGATCTTCAGTTCGCATTGGGTCGACGTATGTGAAAACTGCTGTTCTGATCCTGCCAAGCAGTCGCTGCTTCGTGTGGATTTTGCCGCCCATGTCAGGATTCGCGAAGGTTCCTCTCAGAAGGCGGGTAAGATTTTTCTCAAGTGATCTGCATTGGGCGAGTGAAAGCAATCCGCGTCTTTTGCCGTCCCACCGGTACGATTGAGTCTTCCGCAGAAGTGGGAAGTGCTTGAAGTTGGATCGCTGACTTTCCTCGTTGTGCTATGTCGGCATTCTGAACACGGAGCATGCACAGTTGCCGCATCTGGGCAGGCAGCTTGCATCATGAGGATATTGTCCATGACGAGCTCTTCGTCAAGACGCAGCGATGCAGCTACCAGACATTCGGCATGATGTGCTTGGGTGCTGGGACGGACATGCGATCACCATGCATGAGTAGTTGGAACATGGAACATCAGGATTGTGCGTGTTCGCACGGCTGAGATGTGTCTCAGCCTGCTGAACAATGCGAGATGCAACCGAACATCAGGCAGGGACGCCACTTGCAACTTGCATTGCAACCAACAACGATCCACGCAGCAAGTCTTGCAGGTCCGAATCTGGGATCGCCTTCTTCTTTTTAATGTGGAGGGTAGGGTGTGGACGAACAGGCATCTCCTCCTTCAATGATGATTCTTCCCGGCCTTGAGCTCAGTGCAGTCACGCGATGCATCGCCTGGAGTTGTTGACCCTCGAACCCAAGCCTTCAGACTTGAAGCAGAGACCTTGTGGATCTGAGGTCGCATGCCATTGTACATCTTTTCGTGCAGCCGCCTAGCTGCCTTGGAAGCGCATTATAGAGTTGCCGGTTGCAGATGTCGAATCGGCAAGGAACCCAAGCTGCGATGGGGCATCTGCAAGCATTGGCACCTTGACTCTCGTTGACCTGGCGGGCACGGAGAAGGATGGTAGCCTTGCCATACTCGTGCCATTCTGCTACCTATCAGCTGGCATCGTGGCCAGTGTGCTTGTCAGTGCTTCTTCGCAAGTTCTGCACAGCAACCCTGAACCCTACCCCCAAACCCAAAACCACATGCTGGTCGGAGAGGAGCACGAGAATCCGTCGGAGAAGGGCCGAAAGTCCGCCAGGCTTTTGAACACGTCACTTTCTTCGTTGAACCTTGCCAGACAAGCATGTTTTCGCATGCGAATCGGCGCTGGCTTGACCGAGTCCTGACATTTTGCTGCAGGTTTTGTGTTTTTTCCATTATTTTTTTGCAAACTTTTTCAGGGATTAGGGCCTCGGGCAGGGCCATGATGTCACGATATATATATATATATATGTTTATATACTGTATGTATGTATGTATGCATGTATGCATGAATGTACATATCCTAAACCCTAAACCGGGTCGCTTGGGCGACGCTGAGGAATCGACTGCTCCGCAAGCTGCAAACGGGGAGCCTCGGTGAGTCGGAACGACGGCTCCTCGCATCAATCGATACGGTCACTTCTCGAAGTCATGATCCTTTTTGGGGTTGCTATTCTAAGGCGGCCCCGAATGAGGGTGTGACCAATGTCTCTTTAAAACTTTCCTAAGCCCCGAGGCCACTTGAAACACTCTGTGGACCCTGCAAACCCAAAGGGTCTCTCTCTCTCTCTCTCTGTCGCTCTCTCTCTCTCTCTCCTTTCTGTGTCTCTGCCTCTGCCTCTGCCTCTGCCTCTGCCTCTGGCTCTGGCTCTGGCTCTGTCTCTGCCTCTGCCGCTGGCTCTGTCTCCGTCCCTGTGTCTGTCTCTGTCTCTGTCCCTGTCCCTGTCTCTCTCTGTCTCTCTCTGTCTCTCTCTGTCTCTCTCTGTCTCTCTCTGTCTCTCTCTGTCTCTCTCTGTCTCTCTCTGTCTCTCTCTGTCTCTCTCTGTCTCTCTCTGTCTCTCTCTGTCTCTCTCTGTCTCTCTCTGTCTCTCTCTGTCTCTCTCTGTCTCTCTCTGTCTCTCTCTTCTCTCTCTGTCTCTCTCTCTCTCTGTCTCTCTCTGTCTCTCTCTCTCTGTCCTCTCTCTGCTTCTCTCTCTCTCTCTCTGTCTCTCTCTTTCTCTCTCTTTCCGCTCTCTCTTCCTTTCTCTCTCTTCTCTCTCTCTCTCTCTTCTCTCTTTTCTTCTTCTCTTCTCTCTCTTTCTCTCTATTTCTCTCTCTTTCTTCTCTTCTCTCTCTTCTCTCTCTTTCTCTCTCTTCTCATCTCTTTCTCTCTCTCTCTCTCTCTCTTTCTCTCTCTTTCTCTCTCTTTCTCTCTCTCTTTCTCTCTCTTTCTCTCTCTCTTTCTCTCTCTTTCTCTCTCTTTCTCTCTCTTTCTCTCTCTTTCTCTCTCTTTCTCTCTCTTTCTCTCTCTTTCTCTCTCGCTCTCTCGCGCTCTCGCTCTCTCGCTCGCTCGCTCTCTCGCTCTCTCGCTCTCGCTGTCACTGTCTCGCTCTCGCTGTGGCTGTCGCTCTCGCTCTCGCTCTCGCTCTCGCTCTCGCTCTCGCTCTCGCTCTCGCTCTCGCTCTCTCTCGCTCTCTCTCTCTCTCTCTCTCTCTCTCTCTCTCTCTCTCCGCCAGAAACCTGCAGAACAGATATGTGAGGACGCATGCAACACTGACATTCGTCGGCTTGCTGAGGCAGAGTGTCCTCAACAAGTGCCTTTGGGAGTACTTACGTCCTGGCTGCGGGATTGCGCTGGTTTTCTGTGCAAGCCCGCTGTAGCTGACTCAGGATGTGCTTTGCTGAGAGCAGCCTTGTACTCTAGTGGAAGAGTCGTCAGATGCAACAGCCAGGCAACTTTGTGCATCACTGCCGGACTGCACGATGGATGTCACATGCACAGGGCCATTGCCGCCCGTGTCCAATGTGGTTTGGTAAGGCTTCAGCACAGAACTGCAACTCTTTCAACTCTTGCGATGGCCACAGTACCTTGGCAAGCAGTTGGTGAAATCGGCGCAGCCGTTGCAAACTGGCAATGTCTTGACTCATCTCTTGACTCATCTCTTGACTCATCTCTTGACTCATCTCTTGACTCGCCTGGCTCAAATCTTGACTCTTGAGGACAGCAAGCTCATCCACAGCCAGCGAAAGTCCCAGTACATCAATATGCCCAGCAGGGCCCAGGCCATTCAGAGCACCATAGATATCACAAGCGCAACCCGTTCACTGTATCATCGGTACCTTTATTCGGGCAATGGAAGAGACGCTCCCCAGTGATCCTGCCTTGAAGCCACCGAAGCCTGGTGCCCGTTGTGTAGGCCCCTTCGCCTTCACCCGCTAGAGCCACGGCTCCGCCTGCTCCGGTTCCTTCAGGAGGTGCGGCTTGTGAGCCACGAGTGACACGATCCAGAGTCGCCCTTTCCAAGGTGAGGGGCCTCGTGGACCGAGTGCGCCGCCCACGCCCAGGGGTGAGACGCCCAGGCGGGGCTTGGGAGGCTTGCAGCTCTACTTCTAGATTCGAGGCTTCAAAGGTGCATGTTTCTTGATGGGCATGAGGGGTTGCAGGAGCCGCACACAAACTGAACCCTAAACCCTAAACCCTAAACCCTAAACCCTAACTCCAAAGTGCCCGTGAAGGCGCCCAGTGGGGATGGCTCGGCTGGCCGGGCAGGCGGTGTGTAGTCAGAGGATGTCAGGCACCTGACCCGAAGTTGGATGGTTGGATGCCAGGCAACAGGCCCTAAACCCTCAACCCTCCACCCTAAACCCTAAACCCTTGATCCAGCAACAGTCAATCGAGGCTTCCCCCCATGTTGACAGGAATCTTCTCGCCGCGAGCGAAGCAGCAGCCTGGACAGCTCGTTTGGTGTAAGACGAGCAAGCTTAAGGGTCTCCTTGGGTTTTCTTGTCAGGGGCACTCTCGGGCGACTAGCCACGCCTTTTTGGCGACAGGACGGGGCATCTGATGAGCTTCTTGTCGAGAACGAGAAGCTTCGAAGGACATCTCGCAAGCGACATTTTAGCATGCCTGCCTCCCTCAGCTATCAGTGCGGGAGCTTGATTGAGTACAATCTTGATGTCCAGCGGAGTTTGGCCCAAAACCGAGAGAGACCCTCCTTCTGTCCCTGGGAACCGGGACAACGGGCATGTGCCCCTGATGGGAGTCTTCTACTCAACCTCGTGGTGCCAGGAAGGCGCGGACGAGCGCCAAGCGCCGTCCGAAGACGTGAACGCTCGAGACGCCCGACATGTCACCGTCCACATCGTTGAGCCGTTGGATGGACATGGACAAGCCAAAGAGTCCAAAGAGTCGAGCACTTCCTTGAGCACTTCGTTGAAGGATCTTCGCACCGACAGCAAGGCCAGGCGCAGCCTCCTCTTGAAGACGGCCTTCTCTGTGGAAGAAGATCTCATGCGTGGAATCTCCCTTAGGGAATCATTACGTCACGCTGGCCGCCTGTGGCGTGTCTCTCCTTCAGAGCTCGAGGAGAAAGACAAAGCAGCCTTGAAGCTGTTCTCAGCTCCTGTGAAGGGTTTTGACATGTTCTTAAGTCACACGTGGCACACACGTGGTCGCTGGAAGTACCTGTCTTTGTCCTTCCACTATGGCTGGGTGCATGTACTGCTCGGCTGGTTTATTTCAATGTTAATCTTGGAGCTCCTCTTCTTCTTCGACTTTTTGCCGGCCCTCTGGAGTTCCAAGGCTGGGGTGTGCATATCTGCAGATGGGTTCCCTTGTATTACTTGTATTTCCAAACATAGGGGTACCCTCTTTTCATTCCCAAGAATCCCTTACAGGGACCCCCAACAAGGGTACCCCGGTACCCCTATTTTCGGAAACCCGCATCATATCGCGGTTAGGCTCACTTAGCGCATGCGGGCCATAGCAATGCTGGGGATGAATGGCTGCAGGCCATTGCACAGAAGAAGCGATCACCAACCTCCACCGGTTCTAGATATGCAAGCATAGCCCCCTGCTTCTAGTTCAAGTGACGCACCCTACACTCTTAAACCCAACTGTGGTAGAGAGCCCATGGTACTGGTATCCCCAATGCTTCAAGGTCCCACAAGTGCTGACGGGAGTTTGGCTAGAGACAGGCGACCAAGAAAGACCAATAACAGGCTACTATTTGGAATTGTTCAGGGAATGAAGTCGTAGCTACTAATTTTTGGGGCTCTGGGTTCAAAGAGCTGAACGACTCTGAAATGAGGTGCTGGCAAGAGACCCAGCGTTAAAGAAAGTTTCTTCAGGATGATGAGATGATGAAACAAACGAGGTGTGACACGAGGAGTTCGCCGCAGAAGAGACAAATGCAAAGAGGGGAGGGAGACAAGATGGGGGGGATTCCACTCGGGAGGCACGGCACCCACTCCTCGAAAATCAAAATACGCAGCAGTAAACCTCGTGCTTCGGTCTTTTCCAGAGAATGCGTTAGACAATGCTGGTGTCAGGCCACGTATCCCGCGGTCTATGGCGAGGTGTACCAGATCGGGGGTTGGGCACTATGTCTTGCAAACTTAGTTGCGCTGCTCACCTTCTTTCTTGCACCCTACTTGCCAGACATCTCCAAGGGGTCGCGGAGCTGCTTCTTGGATGTTGCCAGTCCCTTGGACGTCGTGTTCTGAAGACCTTTCTTTCATTCTGCCTACAGGCACTCTCAACAATGTTACACTTTTTCTTCCGCTTTTTGTACACGGCAACGTGGCCACACGGTTGTGTTCTTGGATCTCTTGACTTGACCACTCCACTCCCAGACTCTTGAGCTTCTCAGGTATAGACCAAGTTGACATTCAGACGATGGAGCGTGGCGTTTATGGGCTTGGAGGCTTTTTGAGTGCCTCTAAGGAGCTCCGAATTCTTTGGTCGGAGCCTGGGCTGGCAGTAGGAAGTTCAAAGCTTGTGTGGATTGTAGATCTCTGGACCTTCGCAAGGCTTTGGTTTCGTGGCGCGCTCAAAAAAATGCTAAGGAGCCTTACTTATCAAGGTTGTGGTGTGTATTCGAAGTAGCGGCCTTCAGAACAGCCAATCCAGTCGGGAAGATCACGCTTGCCCCGCTTTTTGTGGAAGCCGCTGTGGCTGCTTTGTGGACCAGTGCATACATCGTTCCGCTCTTGTATCTGCTGGCATCGAACCTTCTGGACCTGGGCAGCAATTATGCCCTGCCGCTCTCCTTGCTGCCGATGTGCGTGGGATTCCACATTCTTCGTTCAAGCTTCAAGAAGAAGCGCCAGCTTTTGGAGGAGCTTTGTGGGAACAGAGCTGTCGATTTCGGGAGAAGCATATCTTCTTTTCAGAAGCACGGGGAAGGAAAGCAGAGAGTGCTAAACAGAGAGTAAAGCAGAGAGCCGTGATGCCATCTTCTCAGGAGTTGCGCAGCTTCACGCTTGAGTCGGTCCAGTGCCAGAAGGACTTCGACAGGAAGTTCATCCACATCGCCATCGCCTCGTGGTATGGCAGCGCCGAGGCCTTCTCCCAGTACGTTCGGGGCCCACTTAGGCAGGAGCTGCTTCAGTCGGCCCGGGCCAGGTTGCCGGCCGGGTACTCCTTCCTCATCGTGACTCCACTCCTGAGCCTGGGCATGGATGGCATCGTTGGCATGCTGAAGGCTGGCTTTCCCTGGCCCATCTTGCTGTCCCAGCTCTTCGGGGCCGTGCTTGGCGTGCTCCTGTGCTGGAGCATGGCGCCCGGCCTCTGAAGCCAGACATTGCAAAGCCAGCTCTCTGGGTTGGAAGGCGGTTGAGAGGAAGGACGTTGTGCGTGCGCGTGTCCGTGTGCTCGTGCATTTGTGTGTGTCTACGCACATATATATATATATATAGGTTATGTTATGCTATGCTATGTTATGTTATATGATATGCTATTATATTATATCATATTATATTATATTATATTATGTTATATTATATTATATTATATTATATTATATTATATTATATTATATTATATTATATTCCATTATATTATGTTATATATTGTATGCTACCATATATATATACACACACACACACACACACTTCTGTTGTTGCGGGAGCTCGCCTCTGAGAGAGCCAGCGGAGTCACCCCCCAAAAAAAAACGGTATAGCATCCTGGCGGTTGGGGGGTTTAGGGTCCAGGGGTCCAGGGGGTCAGGGGTTCAGGGGGCCAGGGGGCCAGGGGTCCAGGGGGCCAGGGGTCCAGGGGGCCACGAAATGACGCGCCCCGGGCGAAGTGGGCGAACTCCGCATCAGATGCCATATAAACACAAAGGGTCAATTCTCTACATGAGGGTCCCTTTTGAGGTTACCTAGGCGTCCGCTGGTAAATATGTAGGGCGCCCCCAAAAGGGGACCATAGTTTAGAGAACTCACCACGTAATGTCCCCTCGTCCGAGAGCTTGCTGGTGGCGGGCCTGCCTAGTTGTTGTTCTTGCGTCTGCAAGCATGCGCTCTTGCGTAACCGGGCCGTTTGCTGGCCTTGGAACGTTGTTTCCTGGGCTGGGGCGTGCGCCAGCGTGAACTCCAAGTGGAGGGGGCAAGGACGTTTGCGGAGCCCCCTGAGAAGCTGTGAGGGATCGGCATGGCTTCCTGCAAGTCCCACCGCGTGCAGCTAGTCGCTTACTCACTCACTCGCTCACCACGTAATGTCTTCAGAGACAGTACTGGGGCACTGCCTCGCTGAGTTGCACTGGAACAGATATTGGATTCGGTTTGAGGATATTTCCTGTATGCATAGCAGGAGTGCTGTAGTGGAGATACGGAAATATACGGCCAGGCCACGGATAAATGGATGTTATCTGTTCACGGTATTCCCGGTATCGATGTCGCCTCCGTGCTAGCTCATTCCATCCATTGCTTTTCTGTTTGCCGCTTTTTGCTGTCGGGGGGGGGGGCTTAGTTCAACAAACTCACTTTCAATGCGGCCCTCGAGATGCAAAAGGTAGCTACCTTTGGCACAGAGGGGGCGATTTCTTCATGGTCGAAGCTGGGGTATTCAAGAGCGAAGGAGCAACTCAGGCCCTTTTCTAACACGTGGAGATGGAAATAGACCCCCCAAATCAGCAGGCTCTAAGTGAGCCCCATGAATGAGGGCCGCGCGCAAACTCAGGTGCTGGTCCAGGTGGGCTTGTTCCTGTGCGACCGCTTCGCTGGGCCTTCGCAAAAGGGTTGGATGGACACTTGGCAAAGATGTGGGAGTTCCTACAACTTCGGTTTGGCAGTGCGGCTGTAGGGGCACTGGGAGGAGATGGGACCTTGGGCTTCGGTGTGTCAGGTGTGGTGGAGGAGTCATATTTTGAGGGCTTGGAGCTTCGTTGCGCATGCGTTGCAGGAATGACACAGCCTGAGCCAGCAAAGCAGAAACGGGACACATGGAAATCACATGGAGCATACTCTTTCACCCACGAAGAATCAGCAGCTCCGTTCCTTGCTGCGCCATGTGAGGACTGGGGCCGAACCTTGCTGCTCTTCTTGGGCTTCGTCCTCTTCGCTTTTGGGGGGGTCCAGGTCGCAGTATTTTGTTACAAGAGGAGCGTGTGGAGCGCTCTTGCATGGTTCGCGGCGGTGCTCCTCCTCACGTGGCTTACACATGGTGGCTGGGAACAAGTTTGGAAGTGGAAGGCCGGAGACAGTCGAGAAGCTCCTGGGTCACCCACTACAGAAGGGACCACGTCCTTCGAGGACCTAGAGGACGTAGCGATTGAAAGTCCAGCAAACTTGAGCGGAGACACGTCGTGTACAGCTGAGCCCACAACGCTGCACTCGCCAGAAGGTGTTGCAGTAGAACCTGCTCAAGGCGGTGCTGGCATAGTTAGTGTCAAATTCGTATGAAGTTCCTGCATTTCCATGACTGGTCTCAGGACCCTTTAAATCATTTTTAGAAACCCGCAAGAGTTGCGCGGCTGTGCCGCTTTCAGAATTCACAATTGGAGCACGTTTTTTTGGGTCTCAGGCAGTTCGAAAAACAGTGCGTCGATTGAGTATTCACGTGGCTACACAGCTTATTCGCATGTATATGGGCAAATCTCTCAATCAACACTTCTCTAAACTATGATTCTGCTGGATACCCAACAGAGGCTTTGCATTCTAATTCGTAGGCAGAAGGGACCAAAGCTTACGGAAGCCGCCATCTCGATCGCTTTTCCATGTTGGGTACATGTGTGTACTGACGTGTGTTGACGACTTGGCTACCCTGGACAGGAAGCTCGACATTGCCCGAACACGGAGCCGGGAGCGACTGCTTCAGGTTGGCTGAAAACCCTAAACCTAAACCCTAAACCCTAAACCCTAAACGCTAAACCCTAAACCCCTAAAACCCTAAGCCCTAAACCCCAAACCCTCATGTGGCAGCGCTTTGATGTGAGAGGTTGAGCGTCAGAGAGATCAGCTCGCAAGCGATCACATGGCTCTGCAGCGTGGGGAGCCGAGGGTATTTAAGATTGAGAGTCTAAGGGTACATGGTCCCTTCTTGTGGTCCCTGTAACCTCCTCTGAAGTATGCGCCCTTGGGTTGTATAGGGTATATTTGGGGGTATGTACGGGATCCACTTCTAAGGGCGCACATAAAGAGACCATGTAACTACCTTAAGATGACGCAGGTGGAAGCTCTTGTTTGATCATGGATTCCTGTCTGGATCGGGTGATGAGGTGAATGCGAGTCACTCCGAGCTCTGTTCATTCGCCAGCAGCAGCAACAGCTTGCCTTTTGGACAGGGCCTTTCATGGCCCCACCCCAAGCATCCATTGTTACTGCTGGGACACAGGCTGCCCGTCTGACGTGATTCAACAGCTTCCCTAAACCCTAAACCCCAAATCCCAAACCGTAAACCCTAAACCGTAAACCCTAAACCCTAAACCCTAAACCCTAAACCCTAAACCCTAAACCCTAAACCCTAACCCTAAACCCTATACCCCGCGTCTTTGCTTGTGACCTCAAGGAGGTGCTGCGCCGAGATGGGCCGCCTGGCAAAGTCGAGGCTTGCACCGACAGTGCCAGATGGGCCATGTTGCATCCTTGCACTGTGCAGTTTAGGGTTTAGGGTTTAGGGTTTGCAAAGTTGCAGGCCTGGGATGATGCTGCAAGCCAGGTGGACGCCGTCATGTCGTGCGATTTCGGTTTTCGGGTTGGACAGACTGTTCGTGGCCTTAGACCACTCGACATTTTGTTGCATTTAAGACGCAGTCCACTGATCCAGTCCAAGCAAATCTTCTTCGTGACCCCCAGCTGGAGCAGTGGTTCGACTGGTTTCTGTCGCAAGCCTTCAGTTCAGCCTGAATCAATGGTGAATCAATGGTTTACCACCTTCGCCGAAGACAGCGCCCATGCGCAAAGACAGCGCCCATGCGCATCAAGATCATGCTCAGTACACGGATGGTGGCAGTTACCTGATTCGTCCGAAGAAAAGGCGACATCAAAGGCGCCATAAACACACTTGTGATTTTTCCAGCTTTCGCTCTCCGCTGCAAACTCATACTCGGCTGACACATGTACCCTCAGTTCTGCACGAACAATTCCGAGTGCTACCCGCTGTTCCATACGTCGCCGATTTCTTTTCACTCATGAGGGCCCTCCCAGGCAACTCGGGCCAGCGAAGCCCCGTGTGGTTGGTCTGACAAGTGCGCACGCTCGCGATGCCTGGGACGCAGGATCCACAAAGTCGGAGCCTTCTCCTTTTGATTACTAGGCAAAATCTTCGACGGAAGTGTTTTCTCCACTTCGTTTCAGTCATGGCATGATTCACTACCTGTACCAGAGGTTCTGTCAACATGCATACGCACTGAAACTACTGTGCAAACCCTCTGTAGAAACACGATCTTTTTGACGACATCCTGAATTCCAACAGCCGTCAACTCTCATTTGACACTCACGCCAGATACGTTTGATTCTACGCAATGTCCGGTTTCCAAGCCTTGGACACTTGTCAGGTGGAGCTTTGATCGCCCGTCCTTTGGGCCATAGAACACAGGGCCTAAAACCCAGCACTGCTGTGAACCACGCTCCTCAAGCCCGCCCCCCCCCTTTTTAAAATCCTCTTTGTGCGATTTCAGGCGGACCTGGCATGCCACGAGTACATTCTGGTTGGTAGGTTGCACGCCGGTCTGTGCTTTTTGAGGCTGAAATCTAACACGGAACCTCAGGAACAACATCTAAGCAAGACCTTTCCTTGACATCGGAAAAGATCCCTTCTTCCAAGCCGAATCGATGATGAGCCGAACCGATGATGCAGGCTACGGAAGCTCCCCCATCTCCTCCGGCAAGGCCATCAAGTTCTATGAGGTTTCGGGCATTTGCGGATGTTGTGTTTGGGGTTCTTAGAGAAGTCAGCAAAGCAAAAACTGCTCCAGCGCAGAGCAAGCTAGGAAAATGAGCCACATTCTTGGTCCAAGGCGCCTTTGCATTCAGGGAAGGAAGGCGGTTGCGAACGTGGCACCCATCAATCCCGAAGTTTCCCTCAATCCATGCAGGTGTGGCGCTGCGGGCGTGCAGGGTGCAGCACCTTGCCTCGTGCCATTCTCTCAGCCGTTGAGCAGAAGTCTGGGTTTAGGGTAGAGGTGAGACAGTGAGGATGCAAGTCGTTTAGAGTACGGGCTCAGGTTTAGGGCCGGAATCCATTTAACGGTTGAGTCTTTGGGTTTAGGGTGTCTGGAGGGTGCAGGTTTGGAGCTTAAAGGTTTCCCTGCCCCAGCCCATCTCCCGGCTTCCCTGACCTTTGCCCCCACAATCCGTTTCAGCATGTTGCACCCCTGCGCTTGCGGATGCCATGTGCTGAGGACCTCTTCTGCCCCAAGACCTTGCGCTGCTCAAAGCCCTTCCAGCCTCCAGTCGCAGCTTGAGTACTGGCGCCTCCTGGCAAGAACATTGGGATTCCCGTTCTGCACACGAACAAACCCTAAACCCTAAACCCTAAACCCTAGACCCTAAACCCTAAACCCCAAACCCCAAACCCTAAACCTTGGCAACTGCACAGACGTGGTGAGCTTCAGGCGAGATGGCGCTGGATCTCCAAAGGCCGCAGCTTGCGGAGCTGTGGGCCCCCAAAGCCGAGAAGCGTCCGAGTGAGAGCTCTCCCGAGTGCCCTTGCTCCCGGCAGGAAGCTGCAGAAGCCCTGCATCAGCTCCAAGGCATCCAGTTCCCGGTGGCCATCCTTCAGCTATCGCGTTCTTAAAGGGGGCCGGGGGGGAGCATGCTTCGCCGGACTGCTCGGAAGCTTTGCGTTAGAGAAGCAGCACGCAGGAAGCAACAAAACCTTCTCAAAACTTCGCGGTCAACACATGCAGACAGCAAGGCAGCTTTCCAGGGCTCCACAGAACAGGCTTGGGCACTGGGGATCACTAGGGTGTTCCCTACCATCGCTGGGGCTGGGGAGCTGCTGGGGAAAAGGTACATTTCGAAAGCAGCCGAACCTTCAATCTGAAGCACGCAGCGGCAGGGAAGTCCACGTACGCTTTGAAATGCGATGCATGGCCAGGTTCTTTGCAACCACAATTTCTTGAAATACAAGACACTGGGACACAGATTCGAGGAATTCCACAAGCTTCCAAGCCACCTCCTCCCCCCCCTTTTTAGGAACATGGTCTTTTTTGGGTCCTGAAAGGGGTTCAAAGGGATATGCAATGCTAAAACTCCCCACGACTCTCCAAGGCTTCTTAAGCTTCCCCCAGGTTCCGAAGGGACCTACCCCCCATGACCCCCCATGAACCCCCCTCCCTTAAGGACCCTCGAATACTTCAGCCAAGCGCCATGATTCTGTTGAGGCAACGCCGACACCGGAGACTGCCGTAAGTCTCGCTTCGCGCAGGTAGGGTGGGCTGGGAGTGGGCTGAGTGGCCGGCGTTTGTGCCAGATTCAGACTTACGTGGTCAGCAGGGGGGGTGGCGGAGGAAGGGCTGGAAGTTGAATCTCGAGTGTGTCCGATGCATCTACAGAAGCTCCTATGCTGTTTGGATCGAGTTGAGGCTTGCAGCTTCTACACAGCTGCTGGTAGTCTCTACCGCCCCATCCTGTTTCCAGAGCATGTCGCCGTCTGACATGTCTGAGAAGCTAAGCAAGCTAAGTGTCGTTCAGATGTCGGGGCAGGTCCTTGAGGTTGACGTCGCATCTCTGCCCGATGATTGCAGAGTGCACGATCTCAAAAGGCACCTTTCCAGCAAGCTGTCCTGCCCGACCTTCAGGCTTACCCTGTTGAACGGCGGCACGGTCCTGAAGAATCACGATTCCTGGCAGGCGATAGGAAATCCGATGACCCTGTCAGTGGTGCAAGCATCCCCTGCTGCAAGTTGGGTGCACGACTACTGGGACGAACTCTTGGAGGCCGTGTCTGGAGATGACATCCTTGGAGTGGATGAGGCCTTGGCAAAGGGCCAGAGCCCAGACACCCTGGCTTTCGGAGGAGAAACTGTCCTCTTTGCCGCTGCGAGAAATGGGTTTCTCGATGTGGCGCGGTCACTCGTCGATGCTGGTGCGAGCCTGCACCATCGCTTTCGAGGAGTGTTTACGCCTTTGTACATTGCTTCTTGGCAGGGCCACTTGGAGGTCGTGCGTCTCTTTGTTGATGCTGGCGCGGACCCGAACCAGGGCCTGTGTGCAGCGGCATTTAGAGGACATGCGGCGGTGGTCCAATTCCTCCTCAATCGCGGTGCAGACGTCAATGCACCAGACGAGCATGACCAGCTGCCTGCTGAGATTGCTTGTGCAGAGGGCCATTTGGAGGTCACGCGCCTGCTTTTGCATGCGCAAGCCGGGTTGGGCCAGGACCTACAACCAGAGAGGCTGTTGCACGCTGCTGTCAGCGGAGGCCACATCGAAGTGGCGCGCCTGTTGCTGCAAGTTGGTGCTGACGTGCACGAAGCCAATGCCAACAGCGACTCCCCGATGGAAGCAGCCCGGCGAGGCGGAGACCTCGAAATGATCGAGCTCTTGGAGAGTGCAAGTGATGTTAGTGATGTTAGTGTTCCTGGGCAGTGTCATAACCGCCCTTGTCTGCACCTGAACCCGATGTTCCAAGAGAGGCAGGTGTGGATGAATTCATTTTAACGCGAGGACGAGCGCATTGCCAAGCTTTGCGCCGTTCTCTTCATGCCAAACGATGGCTCAGGCACAGGCGTAGCCTCAATCTTCCTGCATAATTCATGTGAGAGGGTGGCAACTCAAAGCCCTGCTTCTAATGGTGCCGAGCTTGCAGCAAACGAGCAGATCGATGTCGGCCGTTAAAAAACCTGCGCATTGCCATGCATGCGTCAAACCTTTGCTGTCACCTCGCGGAACTCTGCAGGTCTGAGAGCAGCAGTGAAGGAGATTGCCCCGCAGGCACATTGGCCGGGTTTTGGGACTTCTTCTGTCAACTCACCGTGCGAGTTGAATTGCAGAACTCGAACTCGTCTACCATGCTTCGTTGGAAGGCAATTTGGCAGAAGATTCTGAGACGACAGTTGCAGATGGACGAGAGTTGGTCAGCCATTGATAAACTGTGCTAGCCCGGAGCCAGCGTGTATGCGTTTACAAATCAGTGGATAGGCGGCGCCGTCTGACTGACGCGTGCAAAGAGATTTGCCACAGGTTGCAAGTGACACTCCCCCTGTTTAGTTGCATACTGCATGAAGTAGTTCTTTGTTGCACCAGCGGGGCATTGCTGGGAGGTGAGAACAGGGAGGAAGCTAATGATGTAGCGGTGGTAACTCAGGGAGGAAGCAAATGTAGCGGTGGAAACGGAGACTCACAGTGACCAATCGCTGTCCGATTGCCCCGCTGTGTGAATGCAATTCGATCAGTCTTGGTAGGGCCTGACAGAGCGCTGTGGGTCCATTGCAGTCCCAGCAAAGCGGCCCTTCACAATTCAACTGCATCACTCCACAAGACTTCCCGTGCGCGTAAAGGTGCTAACAAAAGCTTTGTTCAACGCACTGCCCGAAACAGACGCCTGAGAGTCGAGCCTCAAGCATGAAGCTGGCTGTATGCCGGTTCAAAATGCACGTGACGCGAGATTTCTGCAACCAGCAAGCTTCCCACGCAGGACTCATAGACATTGACTCTGCCGCACCATGGAGGGGTATCCCACCATGCAAAGCCAGCGAAGTCAGACCAAACATGTTGAGCCGTGCTCCCTGCAGAGACCTGAGCAGCCACTGTGTCATGGCCGCTTGTTTCCTTGGAGGCTCGCATGTCAAGGCACTCACTTAGCCCTAAACCTAAGCCCAAGAGCCCCTGAAACCTCCCTAAACATCCCACTCGAACTCCAGGCTCTAGGACCCCTCAGAAGCCCCAAATCCTGGAAGCCTCGGATGCTTCCTCGGGCCAGGCTGTTGGCTATGAGATATGAGACCGGGCATCGCCGTGGAGCGAGCCAGGGCCAAATTTCAGATTTGCACGGTTCATGTCCAGGTAGTTGGGCTGTAAAGCTTGCAAAGCGTCTGGCTTCTGGGCGTCTCGGCTTTGGCTCGATTTGCTCAGCAAAGATGAGTAGACCGGGTCATAATATTTGGCACAACCCTGCCAGGGTACGCATGTGGAAGTAGCGCTGGAGGTCGAAGCCGCAGATCTCACGCCCGACAGTTTCGTGTGGACCCGAGTGTCGCCTTACTGGCTCTTTGTAGGGAATCAGTGAGCTGCCCTGAATAGTCCCCTCAGAGGAACATCTTCTCAGTTCGTTTACGCACCCTTGCCATCTGGATGCTGTGCTCACCAATGACACGGTGTGAGGTGGAATCGCGGCTTGCTGTAGAATGGTGTGAGGAGACTGTGTACAGTAAACCCGAAACTTGCGCCGAACCCACAAGCGCCCGGAGCCCTATAAAGCCTGGACCCGTGATGCAGTCAAGGTGCAGAAGTACGTGGTGGAGAACACGCCCCGGGCTTGGAATCGACTTGCTCCCTTCCCATTTGCTCCTCCCAGTGCTGGAAAACCCCAAGCCTGGAAACCCTGAGTTTTACGTTCAAGTTTGGAAGTTCGGAGTAGCTCAAAAGCTTGAGAATCATCTTGGACGCCACTTCAGTGTGCATCCAGGAAAGTGGACCTCTATGTTGAACATTGGGCTTGGGGCCAGGGTTTGGAAGCTATATATATCTATATGTATGGCTATACATGTCTATATAAATACATATCTATATATATGGTACCCCCCCCCCCAGTTATCCACACCTTTTCTGCTTGTTTTGTGTTTTTCTTGTTCTGGCGCTGCGTATTTCTTTTTTTCGTTCGTAATTTGTTTTCTTTGCCCCAGCGTGTTGATTATATTTTCCTTCTTCCTCTATTTATATCTGGTTGATTATCTGTATGTTTATACTACACCTCTAGAGACGTTTCTAGAGTGCATAGTGTACTTAAATTTCAAGGCCTCAATGGTCAAGCACGATGAGGGACAAGGAGTATTGAAGTTCAATGCTCCGGATTGAACTTCAATACTCCGGGATTCAAGATTCAAGATTCAAGGTTCCCGGGAAAAGTTTCCCCGGGATCTTGAATCCAGGGTCCCGAAGTATTGAAGTTCAATCCGGGGTATTGAACTTCAATACTCGGGACCCTGGATTCAAGATCCCGGGGAAACTTTTCCCTGGAACCTTGAATCTTGAATCTTGAATCCCGGTGTATTGAACTTCAATCCGGAGCATTGAACTTCAATACTCCGGGATTCAAGATTCAGGATTCAAGGTTCCAGGGAAAAGTTTCCCCGGGATCTTGAATCCAGGGTCCCGAAGTATTGAAGTTCAATCCGGGGTATTGAACTTCAATACTCGGGACCCTGGATTCAAGATCCCGGGGAAACTTTTCCCTGGAACCTTGAATCTTGAATCCCGGAGTATTGAACTTCAATCCGGAGCATTGAACTTCAATACTCCGGGATTCAAGATTCAGGATTCAAGGTTCCAGGGAAAAGTTTCCCCGGGATCTTGAATCCAGGGTCTCGAGTTTTGAAGTTCAATCCAAAGCCTGAGGGCTCCCCGGAGACTATCTCTAATACCCTGACGGGGTTAGCTCTATAGGGTTTAGCCCTATAGGGTCTAAGCTTTAAGCATTACCCGAAACCCTTGAGGGTCAGAACCCTAAAAACCCTTGAGGGCTCTAAAGATTAGAAGGCTGTAGCCCTAGAGGTGCTGAAACCATAGTTAGAGTATTTAAATGGGCCGGGCCGTTTCCCAAAATAACTATTTTGTTTCAAAATTTCAAGGATTTGAAGGAATGTACGGATTTTAAAAATTCAAAGGGCCGGGCATTTCCCAAAATAGTCGATTTTTTTCAAACTTTTACGGATTTTAAAGTATCTAAGTGGCCTTTTACATTCCTTAACATCCTTAAACAGTTGAAAGCCAGAGTATGTTAAGGAGTTTACAGGGTTTTCAAGAATTGAAGGGTCTTTGTAAATTCTTTAAAATCTTTGAAGCTTTAACAGGGGAAACAGAACCATCAAATAGTACGTAAAGGTGAGTCGTACACAGGGTTATAAGGTTCTAATCCTAGCCGTAATGCCTCAACCTTAAACCATAACATGTGAACCCTATAGGCCTATAGGGTACATAGGGTTTAAACCCTATCGGGCTAACCCCGTGAGGGCTTTAGAGATGAACTTTTTGGGATTTAAAGGTTTACAAAACTAAGGTCTGGGCATGTATACCTTCAAAGCCTATAGGGCTGCAACCTTTGAGGCTTTAAGAGCCCCATAGGCTTTCAGGGTTCTGACCCAAAAGGGCTTGGGATTTAGATTGCCGTAAGCCCTTACGGTTTATCTCCATGGGCTTATAAACCTTTAAGACCCCTAAACTTTTGAACCCGATACATGGTGTGGGTACTTATTCTGCTTATTCTTTGCATCTCCACCAAGCCCTATAAACAGAGGCAAAACCATGTGGGATTTTAGGTTTAGGGAATTAAGCCTCAAGCCTGATAGGGTTTTTCAGGCTCTAATCCTATAGGCAGTGCCTAAACCTAAAGCCCTAAACTGTTGAACCCTATAGGCCTATAGGGTTTAAACCCTATCGGGCTAGCCCCGTGAGGGCTTTAGAGATACCTTGAAAAACCCTAAACCTTTAGACTTTATGGGATTTAAAGGTTTGAAAACCTAAGGTCTGGGCATGTATACCTTCAGCGCCTATGCGGTTAAAACTTTTCAGCCTTGTAGAGCCCTATAGGCTTTTAGGGTTCTGACCCTAAAGGGTGCAGGTTTAGATGCCTAAACCGTAAACCCTTGAGGTTTAAACTCTATGGGCTTAGGTTTAAATACCTAGATCTTAAAATCTTCAAACCTATTAACCGTATAGGATTAAAGGTTAAGGGTTTAGGTGTAATTGCTTAACCTTGAAACCCTATGGATCTAAAGGTTCAGGTTCAGGTTTAACCCTAAACCCTATCGGCTTGAAGCCTTAAACCTTATAGGGTTTCAGTGCCTCTCTTTTTATAAGACTTAAACCTGAACCGATAGGGGTTTAGAGATTTAGCCCTGAAAAAAAGCCTTTGCAAGAACCAGGGAGCGCAGCGGAGCGGAAGGGAGGGGAGGGGAGAAGGTCGCTGTGCCCAGTGTTTGGACAGATGGAGAGGACTCGACATCTCAAGGATTGCATGCATTTACGTTATGTAGGGGATTGGGCTATTGGAGGAGGGGGGGGAGTTCAGGGGTCACCGCGGCCCGTGAGCGATCTAATTGGCTCGCAACCACAAAAAGCGTGGAAAACCACAAAAAAGCGTGGATAACCCGGGGGGGGGGTAGCATATATATATACACACATATATGGTCTTCGTGCGCGCGGTGGCGGGACACGGGGAACAGCTTTGAGAGCCATGTCAATGCATCTTGGAGCAGATCTGAATGTGGGTGTTTGTCCATGTCTTTGTCCAATTCATCGCGCACACACACACACACACTTGCTCACTCGTGCTTCCTCTGAGTTGTGCAGACGCTGCTCTCTGCACTTCCTGCCGACTTGCATTGCTGGCCACAGGAACCTTCTTGTTTCACAACACTCAATCCAGGCTCAGTCTCAGAGAGGAAAAGTAACACTCAGCAACAGCGACTTTGTGGCATCGCTCACCACGGTCTTGTCTGTTGCTGCGAGTATCAACACCTTCTCCATCTTGAGGAGCTTGCAGAACAAATTCTTTGTTTGTTTTCAGTTGTCAGATGATAGCGGAACCACGATGGCTATGGCCAGGCCTGTCATACTCACCGGGGCGCTCCCGAAATCATGGGTGCCACTCTCAGATTTCGGGTTCGCTCGACTCGACTTCCCGAGGACCCCTCAACTTTAGATGTCCGCTCAGCTCATTTCGTGCAGTTGGGGGGGCAAAGGCCCTCCATGCAGTCACTGCATAGCCGCAAGACCCAGGAGCCGGCCCTTTCGTGGACGCCAGAAAGCCTGCTGGAGATGGCATCTGGGCTATCTGAAAGTTGATCGAGTTTGAATCGGGTTGTCTGGAGTCTTCAGCTGCATCTTCTGAGAGAGGTTTACCTGGCAGCGCGGAGGGTCTTCGATTCACCTTGCAGAGGGTTTAGGGTTTTAGGGTTTTAGGGTTTAGGGTTTGGGGTTTAGGGTGCGCGAGTCCAGGCCCCGGCGGATGCGCTGGTGAAGGTGGCGCCCTTGATGGCCCATGGACGGGACAAGTGGGTCTGGAACCGAGATGATGGGGGGCCATGTGGCTTAGGTCCGGAGCTTCACGCGTCTGTCTTCATTCACTGACTAACGGCTGGTCCTTAGACATTCTGTATGCAGAGAGGGGTTCGTGTCCGGGGTTTGTGTGGTCAAGTCTAGGTGGAGAGTGCAGACCTATGGCCAGATGCCAAAGAAGCCGAGCCATTGCCAGGCCCGCCTTTCAAGGGAGTTCCACTCGGGCCACTAGGGGTTGAAGGGGGTTTATGTGGGGTTTGGGAACGTGAAAGTTCTTGCTACAGGTACATTCTATCCCACAATCTAGGTTTTCATGCAGCCTACCATAATCGGAGATTCTTGACAACCGCTACCTGTTGGCCTTGCAGGAGTGGTGCGCACTGATGTCGTGTTGGCGGTTGCGGCATCTCGCATCGAGGTGACTCTGCATAACTAGACCGCAGGTCCGCAGCACTAGGCCCTACGTCGCAAAGATTCGCAAAGAGATGGCTGACACACGCTCACGAGGTAGTCTCGGTTCAGGTCATAATCGGTCACGCGGTCCTAGAACAACCGCGACGTGTGCATTGGCGAGGTGCCCATGGCCGATTTCGTTGCTTCGCTACAGGGTCGACCGGGGTTGCCTGGACCTCAACTTCGCGCGTACAGGGCCCAATATTCTGAAAGCCAGGGAAGCCCTAAACCATAAAAACAAGAGACGTGTGTTGTCTTGTAGTTTTTTCCGAGGCCTGCCTGCTATGCGGATGGTGCGGGCAACATGCAGCATTCCTTCTCTTTTCTGCAGTGGCCACGCCCAGCTGGGGAGACGCTGTCAGGCTGTGCCAGAGAGTCGTTCTTGTGAGTGTGCCCCTAAACCTTTGCAACCTCTAACCCCCAAACCCTGAACCCATACTGGTATACTGGTGTGTAGCGTCTTAAGGTCTCAGCTGAGTGGCTTCCCCTCTCTCGGTGAGTGCGGAGCTGAGCTGGGAAAGCAGCGGGCGTGGGGAACGGTTTCGTTTAAATACGGCTCTGGATGAGCTGCCGTTGTTTTCAATAACATCTTCCGTAGGTGCTAGAAAATCCCTACTCCCTGCCTTCAGTCTCCAATACGCAATCTCCCCAAAGGAGATGTGTGCTCAGCTGCTCTTCTCCCGGTTTTCCGCCGTGTGAATGAGACGTCGGATGGGCGTGAGATTTGCGGGGACATAGGCGGGACACTCTGGTTTGCAAATGGGTTTGCAGACAGGTCACTCATCTTCAACCGCACCGACATGTGGCTTGGTGGCCAGACGGTCTCGTCCTAGCCTCAGTACCTGAGTAGTACTTCTCCCGCATTAGTCGCATGACACGCAGACCTGCAGTAGTAGGTAGACTGCAGAGGCTATCTCGTCCGAACTTGGCTCACATGGCATTTTCTCAGGACATTGCATTTCGACAACTATGAGAATCTGTTCGTGCAGCTGGTGGGGGAGAAGGCCACGCTGTGCCATGCTAACACTCCACCAGCCCACTTGGAGGTTCATGGGTACCTATAACCCCTATTATGAATCTACTCAACCTAGGGGACTTGGGGGGGGCTTATAAGTACAGTTATCACTGGGGTTGTAAGTACCCTGAACCTCCAAGCAGCGGGCCGAACCCTCCTTGCAGAGCCCGTCGCAGGAGTTTCTCCTGTGCCCGCCCGGCGATACGGATCACCTGGTTGATGGCCGGCTCAGGAAGGCCTACGCCCGGCATCTCAGACACATCTAAGCCTAAGCCTTAAAGTCGTTTTGCATTGTGCCGGGAGCCGAACATGGTCTGAGGCATTTGAGCCTTGTGAGCCTTAAACCATGGAATAGGTAATGGAATGGGAAGGCGTAGGTGGCGAGGCGACTCTGTGAAAGCCAAGGCCACGTGGGAGAAGAGCGGAGGCTCCGCGCTCGGTTTTGAACTGCTTGACGACACGAGGTGTTCTTGGCAGTCTCGGAGTTGCACTTTCCAGATGCTGCTTCTGCTGAGTTGACTCGGGCTTTGGTGAGAGTCGGCTGAAATGGTACGCGGACGATGCTGACACCTGTGTTTGATGTTGAAACCGAGGTGGAGAGGGTGCCAGCAGCACTAGCGGCACCTTCAGCCGGACCGAGTGATACTCAGGCTTCAATGTTAGGTACAGCTGATTCTTCACACAGGCAAAACGATCCCAGGGTGTAGGGTTGATTCCCCCTTGAAACCTTCAACACGCAGGATGCTCCGGGGGTAGCTTGCCATGAGGGGCTGCTCCGAAGTCTTGCAACTTGCTGAGTCTGGTGGGCTGTCAACCGAAGCTGTCCGTGGCTGAGCTGCTGTATGCATGCGGCTGGAGAGCAGGCTGCACCTATATCCCCCTTGGGAATCACTTTTTGTTTTTTGTTCATGTAAAACCCAAGAGGGTATTAAACATCACATCCCTCTTGCTTTTGTGAGACTGGAATGGGGGGGGGGGCTACATGGCCAAAAGGCATTTTAGTTTAGTTCACTTGTATAGATCTAATCTCTACTAGAGACTAGCCGGGAAGGGGGGTTGAGGAGGCCAAAATTGCTTGGCGACCCGGTCCCCCAGCCCAGTGCCCGGCCTGCAGCGGGCTCTGTAAGGGTCCAGGTATCCAAAACCTTTCCAGGCGAGTGAGTCTCCCAGCGCAGGCCAACTTCTGGGGCTACATGAACCCGTTTCAGTTTACACGAAGCCATTCAAGTACACATGTAGCCTGAGCACACAGACGCAAGGGGGATAACATCACATTTTTATTGAGGTTCTAAGGGGAGTGGAGGCACAGGGTTTGGATGGCGTTGTTTGTTGGCGAGGCACAGCGCCAGGGTTCTCATGTGTGCCACGAGAGCCAAAGATCTACGCCTAGACCCCGAGGTCTTCGGACCTTCAATGCCCAGCTTGGACGCTGAACCCTAAACCTGAAACCCCAAGCTTCAAATCGTAGATCCTAAAAACCGTCAATCGCAAACTCCGACCCCCCAAAATCCCCTCAGGCTCCAAGGCCCCTGGACAAAAACTGACATCAGGTCATGAACTATGCGGCTTATGACCTCGACGACCCTCCTGCTGAGTGCCCAACAGAAGGGAACGTGGAAATTGTGGGAAGAATGCTAGCAATGTTTATTGTTCGTTCTACTGCTGTGATTACGATTGCTCCTCTCATTCGTATTTCCAGGTTTCGTGTCATGGGCCGATGCTGGTGTAGCAAGGAAAGGTGCTGCTCCCGAGATGCCGGTGTTTGCTTCATGGGCTGCTTTTTGCATCTTGGTATCCTGCCGGGTTCCCACGTGGGCGATTCTGGAGCCCGAAGCCGTTCGTCAGAGGTACGCGGACGATGCTGCCAAGCTGAGACGGACGGTGGGGATCCAACTCGCGCGATTCGTGGTGGGGTGCCGGGGAGATTCTCTTGGCTCAGCATCTGTGTCCCTGAGGTTGTGACGGTGCGTGCGGGGGAGGTTCTCTATCTGCCCTTCGCATGGTGGCACCAGGCTCGCAGATGCTTAAGACGCGGCTAAGACATCAGGGTATCGCAGGGTGCTCTTGCAAGGATCACGCTTCCCCCGAAAGCAAACCCCTCCAAGTACGGGGCCTGGGATGCCCCAAGCTCAAGAGTCGATCCCGACATGTGCCCAAGATTGCCCAAGCCCTCGGAGAGAAAGCCCTGATCAAACCGAAACCCTAAACCAATCCTAACCCCTAAACCCTAAACCCTAAACCCAAACGTGACAAAAGCCTCAACCTCAAAACCCCCCGCAGCCCCGGGCTTCCTGGAGCCTCCCCTAAGCTCTGTCAGGTGCGAGCGACCCCTGGCCCCAGTGGCCTCTGCGCCTCAGCTGCCGCATTCTTTGCGCCCGGGAACCCTGGGCATTGGATGTGGGGTTTTGGGGTTAACTTCTTTTTGTTCTGGCTTTTAAGTTAGGGTTTTGGGTTTATCTTTTTGTTCCGTCGTGGGGTTTAATGGTTAGTTGTTTTAGGGGGTTCAGGACCTCTTCAGGGTTCCACATTTGCATGGGGGGGTTTCATCGCTTCTTGGGTTCAGGCCCTTCCCGGGGCTGCTGAGGAAAGAAGCTTCGCAACGAAGATCTCCCCTATCTCAGTTATCCCAGAGAGCCACAATTTCGGATACCTGACACCCCTAGTCACTGATCGGCCGAGGCCCCCTAGAGTTTCGGGATGTCTGGCCGAAGCCCGCACCGGGACCTCCCCCCTAAAAACTGAGGCCCCTAAGGCCATAGACCCCAATACTCTAAAGCCTTTCAATGAACTAAAAAAGCCTCAGAGCCCCAAGCACCCTCAGCCCTGTGAGGCCTCCCTCAGCCCTTCCCTCAGCCCTGTGAGGCCTTTCTTCGTGCGCCTGCAGCCCCGCTCGCTCAGCACCACTGGCCCGATGCTGCGTGCCGCCCAAGACGGGAGTTGGGGATTTTAAAGGTTTTGGGGGTTTGGCCCACCCTAAACCTTAAACCCTAAACCCCAAACCCCAAACCCCAAACCCCAAACCCTAAACCCTAAACCCCAAACCCTAAACCCCTGCCCTTCCTGGTTGGCGAGTGGGGGCCTGTGAGTTCGGGGCTTGGAGAGCAGCTTCGGGTTTTCCGGTTGCGGCGTTTGGGATTTGGGGTCTTGAGGGTGGGGGAAATGCAGGGTTTGGGTTGAGGGTTTAGGGTGACCGACTCTCATCGCAGCCCTGCCATATACTTGCGTGCCAAAAAAACCCTACGTATGAGCTTGGATCCTTGTGCTTGAGAAGGATCGCTATGCCCGGTGACGGCTCCCAGTGAAGCTTGCATGGTTCAACTTGGCATCCTCCGGTTCAGACCGGACAACGGCTACTGTACTTAGCAGCTCTGGAGCGCAGCAGACACGTAAGAAATCAGAGAAGAGCCATGCAACATGCCGCAAGTTTGATGCCGCACATCTGCTGATGCAACGTGTGTGCAGGACAGGCTTTTTGTTTGCTGCAGACTTATGATGAGCCTTCTTTGGCTAGATGAGGCTGAGACACGTAGAATGTTGGAATGTCGTAGTCAGTCGATTTGCAAGCAACAGAAGCTAAACTGCTGCAGCGCTGCAGGAGCAGCAGCTTCAACCACCTTTGCAGATCTCTGGTCATCTTCTTCGTCTTGCGCACCTCCCACGCAGACTTGTGACTTGGAGGCTAGATGGTGCTCCTTCTGCCCTAGCAGGTCGTGCTTCGCAGGGCTCCAAAGTGCTGAGGCGAGCATCCCTGCAGAACGTGGATGACCTGCTCTCGGTCTCTGAAGTCCTCCACCGAGCTTTCAAGAATGAGTGACCAGGGCCCCAAGACCGTTTAGGGTTTAGGGTTTAGGGTTTAGGGTTTAGGGTTCTCATACAGGAAGTCCCCTCCACCAACAAAGGATGTTGAGGCCCCCGCAGGCTCAAGGCAGATGGTATTCACGATCTCAGCCTGTCCCGGCTATAAGAGGCTTTTGTATGTGGGAGCGAATTAGTTGAGAAATCTTGGTAGCTGTGCCTCCACATGCAGGTACAACGTCGAGGCCGCAACAGTTACAGTCGCAGATGGACGCCTTTGTGCAGAAACAACTCCAGTTGCTGTGCTTTCCCGGCAATTTCTGGAGGATTCCTGGAACCTTGGGCAAGCTGAGAGTTGATGGTTGATCAGAGTTGATCAAAATGGCTCTTCTTGACAGTTTGGCGGTGCTCCCGTCAGAATCCGTACGTGTACCGTTCTCGAAGTTGGCTGCTGTCATCGACTCATTGAGTTCACCAAGGACCAGCGCAGAATCCAGCAGTGGTGACATTGAGGCGATGTTCAATGCCAAAGGCGACTGCTTCATGAAGTATGCGGGCATCTGCGAGGCGTATGCAACCTGTCCAGGCCTCATGCTCTACAGCCTGTATTGGGATCGGGTATGTTCACGCCCAACAAGTTGAACGTTTGTGATGCACTGAGGTGCGGATGCCACAGCCGTATTCGATCCTTCCACTGTGCCGCGCGAAGGACCAATCTGCCTATTCTGCCTGCCGTCTTAGGACACTGAATTCTCAACCTCCTAACGACTCGACAGGTGGATGGCCCTGAGTAACCTGAACCACAAAGACCCGCAAGAGGGCTTAGGGTTTAGGGTTTCGGGTTTTAGGGTTTAGGGTTTCGGGTAGCTGAGATAGACCTCCACATTCCAAGAGCAGGTCTCTACTGGGCAGCCAACGAGAGCGCGGCCGCTTGGGCAAGCGTTGGTTCATGATTGTTGGCTTCTTACCCTCGCCATGCATGTCTGTTTGCCAAAGAAGGCAAGAAAGAAGGCTGCCCGAAACCCGAAATGCTGGATCAATCAAGGGTGTTGGGCACCTGATAGTTAGCCGAAGATCTGTTTCCTGCAGGTTCGGGCATGGCAGGGCGAGCAGCTCGCGCTGTTGGACGACTTGCTCTTGATGGCAGATCGGCTGCTATAGAGATAAGTTGCGTGAATTGCATGTTCCGCTTAAGTTCTTTGGCCTACGTGCGTTTTCATGGATGAGTGGGCTGTTGGAGGAGTGGTCGTGGTGCATCTTCGGATTTGAGCTTTTAGACCGAACAGCTTCTGGCGGACCTGCAGAGACTTTCAAATGACGGTTGACAGCTTGCTTTTTAATTTGGCTAGAAAAGCTTAAGCCCTAAACCCTAAACTCTTCGAGAAGAGGTCAAGGGTTGAACTTTCCTAGATCCCTGAATTCTCCAAGCTGCCAAAAACCCAATTCTTGAACCCCCAAACCCTAGCCGCTCTGATGGACGCGACTCTCAGTCTTTGGGCAGTGAAGATAGATGGATTCGCTGGTTTTGGACCTTGATCTCCCTATCGTTTCGGCTTTTGGGTTTCTAAGAGATACTCAACATACCCCAAACCTTGGGATGTTCCCCCCAAGATTCACGAGTGCAGCAGGTTCAGAGCCTGTCCATCTACGGTGCCACGGATGTTCCCCCTTATACTACCAGTCCTTTGTAGGGATGGGGTACTATAGTCACTTTTAAGGACTGTTAGTATAAAGGGGAACATTCCAACCCAAATCCATAACCCCTTCACGGCAGTGGTTTCTTGAAAGGAGAGTCTAGGGATGGCGGCCTTCCCAAGTGCCGCTCACTTTCTTTAGGGGTATGCCGCCAAGAGGCTTGTCAGTACATTAACAGCTAAAAATGGTACAAGCGCAAATATGTAGAAATAAACAGATACACAAATAAATCTATGCAAATATATAAAATATCTAAATAGAACAATAAGAATACATATATATATATATATGCAGCAATATATATATATATATGAGAGAGGGACCTTTATGTACTATGTTGCCACTGTTCTTTTCTTTATATATTAATTATAAGAATCATTTAAATAATTGAGTAAATTAAGTGAGCTCAAGAATTCAATTAGTTCAAATGTTTGAATTCTTTGAATTCTTGGGGAGGCCCAAGAATTCAAAGAATTCAAATGTTTGAATTCTTTGAATTCTTGGGCCTCCCCAAGAATTCAAAGAATTCAAATAATTGAATGCTTTGAATTGCGTGCCCTCAGCCAGACCATTTAAATAATTCAAAGAATCTAAAGAATTCAAAGAATTCAAATGTTTGAATTCTTTGAATTCTTGGGGAGGCCCAAGAATTCAAAGAATTCAAAGAATTCTAACATTTGAATTCTTTGAATTCTTGGGCCTCCCCAAGAATTCAAAGAATTCTAACATTTCAATTCTTTGAATTCCGTGCCCTCAGCCAGACCATTTAAATAATTCAAAGAATCTAAAGAATTCAAAGAATTCAAATATTTGAATTCTTTGAATTCTTGGGGAGGCCCAAGAATTCAAAGAATTCAAACATTTGAATTCTTTGAATTCTTGGGGAGGCCCAAGAATTCAAAGAATTCAAACATTTGAATTCTTTGAATTCCGTGCCCTCAGCCAGACCATTTAAATAATTCAAAGAATCTAAAGAATTCAAAGAATTCAAATATTTGAATTCTTTGAATTCTTGGGGAGGCCCAAGAATTCAAAGAATTCAAAGAATTCTAACATTTGAGTTCTTTGAATTCTTGGGCCTCCCCAAGAATTCAAAGAATTCAAACATTTGAATTCTTTGAATTCTTGGGGAGGCCCAAGAATTCAAAAAATTCAAACATTAGAATTATTTGAATTCCGTGCCCTCAGCCAGACCATTTAAATAATTCAAAGAATCTAAAGAATTCAAAGAATTCAAATATTTGAATTCTTGAATTCAAACATTTGAATTCTTTGAATTCTTTGAATTCTTTGAATTCTTTGAATTCTTTGAATTATTTAAATGGTCTGGCTGAGGGCACGGGATTGAAGATTTCAAACATTTGAATTCTTTGAATTCTTGGGGAGGCCCAAGAATTCAAAGAATTCCAACATTTGAATTCTTTGAATTCTTGGGCCTCCCCAAGAATTCAAAGAAGTCAAACATTTGAATTCTTTGAATTCTTTGAATTCTTGGGCCTCCCCAAGAATTCAAAGAATTCAAACATTTGAATTCTTTGAATTCTTTGAATTCTTTGAATTATTTAAATGGTCTGGCTGAGGGCACGGGATTAAAGATTTCAAACATTTGAATTCTTTGAATTCTTTGAATTCTTTGAATTATTTAAATGGTCTGGCTGAGGACACGGGATTAAAGATTTCAAACGTTTGAATTCTTTGAATTCTTGGGCCTCCCCAAGAATTCAAAGAATTCAAACATTTGAATTCTTTGAATTCTTTGAATTCTTTAAATTATTTAAATGGTCTGGCTGCGGGCTCGGGATTAAAGACAACAAACAATTGAATTCTTTGAATTCTTTGAATTCTTCGAATTCTTTGAATTCTTTGAATTCTTTGAATTCTTGGGCCTCCCCAAGAATTCAAAGAATTCAAATTTGAATTCTTTGAATTCTTTGAATTCTTTGAATTATTTAAATGGTCTGGCTGAGGGCACGGGATTAAAGATTTCAAACGTTTGAATTCTTTGAATTCTTGGGCCTCCCCAAGAATTCAAAGAATTCAAACATTTGAGTTCTTTGAATTCTTTGAATTCTTTAAATTATTTAAATGGTCTGGCTGAGGGCACGGGATTAAAGATTTCAAACAATCGAATTCTTTGAATTCTTTGAATTCTTCGAATTATTTAAATGGTCTGGCTGAGGGCGCGGGATTAAAGATTTCAAACATTTGAATTCTTTGAATTCTTGAGCACAAGAACTTAATTAATTGAACTAATTTCTTGTCTGCTTGAAACAGAAACGTGTAGTTAACAAATCCATTATGTTCACCATATTTGATTTTTAATTCTTGTCAATGTCCTAAAGGACTACGTCGAGAAAAATGTTTAGTCTTACATGAATAAGAAATAAAACATGATATATAAATCATTTTCATCTACATAATCATAAACGCAATATTTAAATTAGTGCTTTCTTGTCGTTGTGCATCAACTCGGAGTGCTGCTATCGGCCTTCGGGAAAGCAGAGTACTGACATCGGTCTCTGAACACGGTGGTACTGTTATCGGTCCACCGTCTCCCCCATCCTTCGTTTTATTATATCTCGCCAACTTCATATTTAGACACGGTGGGACTGTTATCGGTCCACTGTGTCTAATGCTATAGAGTTTATATTTGTTTGTGTGACTGTTTTCATATGGTTCAAGTTTTCATACCAAAGCAAGAATAACTCGTTAGCTTTTGTTCTCAAGATGAAAGCGGATGGATAATGTCTGCTTCAAATAGTAAAATCACAAGTTCGTGTTCTTAAGATCATCTTTTTT